ACAAGTAACCTGGCCCTTGACTACGTCAAGATACACTGCCTGTCGGACCCGCTGCCCTGGGCAGGCTGGTCCCCAGTCTGGCTTCATTCTGGGTCGGCACCACCTGCTGACCAAAGGGCCCAGAAGTTGGAGCTCAGGTTCATGCTCATGCTTGGCAGGAATTGCTGGCTGCCAAGCATTTGCTACCAGAATAGGTAAAATGCACACTCACACCAAAAGACAGAAAATCAAAAAGCTTTTGTGCCCTGACAATGGTCTCTCCTGAGATGCACAAAATCTTTTCCTCCTCCCGCCTCTGCCCGCAAACCCCACGAATACGTCTGCGTTGTCCACGCAAAACCACTGGATCCAATTCTCCAGTTTTTTCCTCCATTGTCATAAAATCTCAGAGTTTCCCAGTTCACTGAATCACGCTGTCAATCCAAATGGACTGTAATTCATTTATATTTCTCTTCCTTTTTACCTCCCTCTTTTTCTCCATTTTTTCTTTTTCTAAGATAGTGACAAAAATGTACTTCACTTATTTTCCAAGTTACAAGTGAATTGGGGTATTTCATTAATTCAACAAAAATGTAGTGATGCTGACCGACTAGGAATTAGTTACTGTTCTAGGCACGGGGGATATAGTGAGTAAAATTCCTGTCCACGCAAAGCTAGATTCAGCGGGGGTAGCAGGATAAATATTCCAACTATAGTGTTCGAGGCAGTGAAAACTGCCACGGAGAAAAATAAAGCAGAGAAGGGGGTGTAGCACATCAGTGAGTGACAAGAAAGCCTGGCCGAGAAAGTGACATTGGCACAAAGACCCCCAAAGCGAGGTTAAGCGTGCGGCGGGATCAGAGGCAAATGCGTGCAGGCCCCGAGGCTGGAGCGGGCTTCCCATTCGCTCCCTTACTTCCCGGGGTTGCTCTTTCCTGTATTGGCTGTTTATGTCATTTGCCCTTTTTCTGTTGTTACTTGATATTTTTTCTTACAAAATAGGATACGCTCTCTACAGGCTTTTGAAAACAACCGTATTGCCTGGCTGGTGTGGCTCAGTGTGTTGAGCATTGTCTGGTGCACCAAGAGGTCACCCCTTTGGGACTGGATCCCCAGTAGGGGGCGTGCAGGAGGCAGCTGGTCCATGTTTCTCTCTCATAGATGTTTTCCTCTCTCCCTCTCCCTTCCTCTCTCTCTCTCTCTCTCAAAGCAATAAAAACGCATTAAAAAATAAATAAAAATGACCCTATTTATTTGTCTTGTTTGCCATAAATATTTTTCTACCATTTTCTTTGAAATTTTCTTAAGAACCTGTTTTTAATCTGCCTGCCTCTTCCTTGGGACTTCTTTTATGACTTTGAAGTCACAGAAGTACACTTCTGTCCAAGTTTAGCTAATGATTTATCTATTCTCTTACACTTTCCGTTAAAAATTGCCCCCCTGATGTCTAATTACTGAGCCATCCAAAGTTTATTTGGTGTATGGTGTGAAGTGATGACCTAAATTGCCCTCCACCCCAACTGCCAGCTAATTGTCCCAGCACCATTTATTAACTGAACAGTGAAGCATCCATTATTATATGTTAACTCTTAGGCATTATAGAAACTGTTTCTGGGTTACCTCTTTTTCCCCAATGATTTATTCTTGCACCAATATCAGTATTTTTTAAAAACAATTTGAATTATGTTTCAAAATCTGATATGGGCCCCCACAGCATTCCTTTTCAGGATTTCTTTTGTGTTCTTTCCTATTTTTCCTTCCAAGTGGATTTTTGAAAATTTGAATCATTTCATCAAACTCCAAAAATGTCTATTGAAATTTTGATAGAAATGATAAACTATACAAATTAAACAACTGACATCTTAATAATATGTAATCTCCCCATTCATATGTATGGGCTGTCTCTCCATTTATTTAATCTTCTTTTATAACATTCAATAGTGTCATGAACTTTTTCATATTAACTAAAATTTTCTCCCTGTGTGTGACGCCTTGTTTGTCTGCTGTCAGGGTCTAAAGATTTGCTCCTTCAGGGTTAGCAACAGGGTCTGGGGTGGCTAGGGAATTTCACTAGAGAGGCTGGGACCACAGTAATTTGCCAGCCCAGGTGACTTTAAACGAATAGTGTGGTTCTGGGACCAGCAGTACCAGCAACACAAGGTCACCACTATTACAAATACAGATCCTTGGGCCACACCAAGGGCTGCTGAGTAAGACACTCTACTCTGGGGGTGGGGCCCAGCTTTCAAGCCCTGCACATAATTCTGCTGCACACTAACTCAAGCTTGAGAAACACTGCTTTAAACCAATGATTCTTAACCTTGGCTGCACAGTAGAGCCACAGCAGTTGCTTTTCAAAAATACCAATGCCAAAGCTATTTCTCCTTCCCGCACCAACTCTGAATTGCTCTGGAGTGGCACCTCGCCCAGGGCTTTTAACCTCGGGCGATTCTAGTGCGCAGCCAGAGCGGAGCACCACAGCTCGAAGCTTAGGCTCCCACACATAAGATGAGGAAGATAATTCCTCCTAGGGCTGTTGTAGGAATTAAGCGATGTAACTTCTGGGAAAAGTTAAGTAGTGCCAGCAAATGGTAAAGCACTGGACCAATGGTAGTTCCAGTTGTACTGGTCCTCAGGCTTAGAGAGATCGATGCCACATTGTCAGGTCATGAAAGGACATGGGGACCTTGAGGGCCCCATATTGGTTCCTTCTGGTTATGACTTGGAGGTTGCCTGGCCACGCCCGTTATTGCTCTCACGCACCTGAGTGTCCATGGTTTTTGCAGGTATTGGCACATGCACATGCGGTTCACTGGAACCCTCTCTGCTTGTGGAGATCCTACTGGTAACAGTGTGGTGACGGGCAGTCAGGCTTTGAAGCCAGGAGGCGTGGATTTCAACCTCAGTCTAGACACTTTAAGCTGTGTGGTCTTGGACACATGATCCAAGACTCAGTTTTCTCATCTGTAAAGTGGGGATGCTTATCACATGAGGCCTACAAAGCCCAGTCCCGGCGTGGGGTTAAGTGCTCCAAAAATGTTGACATTACCCACATTCATTGCTTTCACTGCTTGTGAAGTCATTTCTGATGATTCAAACCACACTGACCTGTCCTACCTCTACCCTCTTTGTTAAGAATTTGTATTTCACTCGTTCGGTGCTGAATGCACCGGTCACTTCCCATACTTGATACACTCACTTTTAGATTCAAACCGTGTCCTCTCTGAGACTTTCCATTTCTGTTTGGAATACTGTTTTCAATTTAAATCCAGTGGTTCAATTAGTAGTTTTGTGGCTCTTTGGGGAAGACACTCCACATCGAGCACCAATCTAGACGGTCAGTGAGGAAGAGTTCATTATTTTCTGCAGTCGATGCAGAGAGCTCTGCACAAATGAATCTATCTTCTCTCTCAGAAACGTGTCCTTAAGTAGAAGGAGGACCATCTTGGGATCTAACCTACACTGGGTGAGCCCTGCCCAGGGTGCTCAGTGGGTTAGAGCATTGTCCCGATACACCAAGGCTGTGGGTTTGATTCCCGGTCAGGGCACATATGATCATCAACCAATGACTGCATCAATAAGCAGAGCAACAAATCAATGTTTCTCTCTCAAAACTCAATTAAAAAAAAAAGAATCTACATTGGTTGAGCTCTAGTTCCTACTTTATTATGAACTTATAAAATTGCCAGACCTCCAATTAAGTTAGAAAATTGTACTTGAGTAGTTTCTTTGGCCAGTCCTCCCACTAGTTTCATGACCTGTTTTGCTGCCTTTGTCATTTAAATAACATTTCACTGTTTTAACTTCAGTATGTTTTATTGGTTTTCCAGTTACCTCAATACCCACGGTTTTACTGGTTGTTCTGGTTTTATCTAAGTCTTCTTGAATGTATTATTTGTTTTGTTGATTCTCATTTAAAAAAAATACTCTTTGACCTTACAAATGAGTACTTAAGAAAAAGGGCCATGATGACAAGGTTGGCAGGTTAAAAGGACTTTCCCTCTATTGTTTTTTTTTTTTTTTAATATATCTTTATTGATTTCAGAGAGAGGAAAGAAGAGGGAGAGAGAGAGAAACATCAATGATGAGAGAGTCATTGATCGGCTGCCTCCTGCATGCCCCCGACTGGGGATTGAGCCCACAACCTGGGCATGTGTCCTGACCCGGAATTGAACCCCGATCGCCTGGATCCTAGGTCGATGCTCAACTGGTGAGCCACGCCCGGCCGGGCATTGCTCTTGCAGTTTGTTCCTGTCTCTAAATCTTTAAAATCAGGCACTTAGAAGCTTTGGGGGAAATGTGCAAGGTAAGAGGAAAAAGGTAGAGGTTGGAATTTAAAATTTTGACTTAGGCTTTCATGGAAGGTGCTTCATAAATAAGATTATATGTGTGTGTGTCTGTACACACACACACACACACACACACAGAGGCACACTTTGTTTTATCATGCTTTGCCTTATTGTGTGTCACAGATTTTTTTTTACAAATTGAAGGCAAGACCCTTCACCAACAAAAAGACTGACTCGCTTTTTTGCCATAATTTGTGGTGGTCTGGAATTGAACTTGCAGTATCTCTGAGGTATGTCTGTATGAGATGCTTTTTAAAAAATGAGTTTCTAGACCCCATGATTAAATAAATAATAAAATTCGTCTCCCACCTGCTTCTTCCTGAATCTCTCATGCTGCATGTAAATGTGGAGAACTTTGTATTTTTAGCAGGTATTTGTCAACTCTGCCTTGGAAAAAATCTGCTAAGACACAGTCAATTCTTTCTAGTTATACAAATAACTGTATATTAAAATACATTTCATTTTCAAAACTGAGGTATCAGCTGTTTAAGTGTGTATATATATATTTTGGGACACCCTGTATTTGATTAACCTTTTATAATTTACATAGTACTTTTCACAAATATGTGTGAATTAGTATTATCATGATTTTAGAGGCAGAAAGAGGTTCAGAGAAGACAAGTGACATAAGGCCACATAGCCAGTGGTAGAACTATGCCATAAACTCATGACTTTTGAATCCAAAGCCCAGTCTTTTTATTATGCCATTGAAATCAAGGGGAAAATCCTCATGCACACAAAATACCAAACATCAGAGGGAAAACAAATAGTTTTGGTCTTGACAAGAGCACTCCAATGAAACAATCTGGCCAGCCTACCCTACAGTTAAAGTGCTTTTTCTGATTGTACTTAGTCCATGTCCTAACCCTTAGCCACTGTCTCCTGAAATGTGTTGCTTCCATGGCGTCAAGGTCAACTCTTTCCTCTTACCGTCTGTCATCTGTCCCACTGTTCAGGATAGGTTGCTTTGAGTCACACAGTGCTTACTTTATCAGCTGGTTTTAGGGTACAGCTTACGTAAGTAACGCTTTAACTTTAGTTTCTTTCGGCATAGAGCAGTGGCACACTCATCCTCTGCAGGGTTGTCCACAAACTTCCTGTCAAGCAGTGCTAAGGCTCCCTGCAGGCTCTGGGTCTGTCAGGGGACCAACCACCGAGTCTGTGTTTTCTGACTCAGGTTGGCTGTTGGTATCTATATACTCTCTTTAAAGTAACGGGCTAATTCTCCTAAGCCCCTCTAATGCAGGCCTTCTCCAAAAGCTGGGGACAACATAAACCAGACCACCCCTGGGATGTTCCGCACCGGGTTCAGGCCGCAAGCCTGTTGCTCAGCCCAGCATTCTGGGGTGGTCATCCATCCACCAGGCTCAGGTGCACTGGCCAACAGTGCGCCTGCACTTTCCCAAACAAATCCTTGAGATCTTGGCAATATTTTATAACACGCACATGCTCATTCAGTTTTACAGACTAAGTCTATTCAGCTGTGTCTTCTACAACCAGCATGTCAGGCACGTGGAGGTGCTCTGGAAACAGTTCTACATGGATTCTCAGCTTCTGCTGGAATTCACATCTATCAGATACAAATCATCCAATTTTTGTAGTATTTTATTTTTATCGACTATAATATAGGCCCTGGGCATACCGTCTGGATTATGTATCTTTTGAAAATATCATTTACCTAAACATATGTAGAGGGATTCTTACTAGTTCAGGAATTATTTACAAGGGAATTATTGCCAATAGTTCTAAAGTTGCAGGGAAAGAAAATCGTAGCTGCTATACATGCTCTGGCCTGTGCATGGTGCTCTCCTTCCCCGAGAGAGAGAGGTAGAAATAGGTTAAGTGGTTAAGATGGTAAATTCTGTTTTTTACCACAATAAAAACATAAAAAAAAGTATGTAAAAAAATTTACTATACAGTGCTAGAGATCTTCAGAGCAACTCTTGGAAAAAAAAAATCAGAGAAGCCCTCACAACCTCACTAGAGGCTCACTGCTAGACTACAATAAAATGAGCAGCTAGTTACTCAAATGTATATAACAGCCATCTCTCAGAGAAATAACACCTCACACACTCTGATCTCTGGTGAAGTCCAAGTTTTTTCACAGAACTTGCAAAAGGCCCTTCATGATCTGACCTCTGTCCATTTCCTTATGACCAACCAGCACTAGTTAGTGGTCTCTCTCCAATTCCTTGAACAGGACAACTTCTTACCTTAGCTGTTCTCTGTGCCTCACTTTTCCCGTCATTTTTCTTCTGCCCCACTCTATTCACCCTGCAGAGCCAGCTTAAGTATCATCTCTTCAGGGAGGCTTTCTTTAAACTCCCCACTGAGGTTTGGGCTCTTGCTCTCTCTGGATCAATCCATCAACCCATCCACCATCTCCTAGAAGTCTGGATTTTTCCTTTGTAGCATTTAGTACAATTGTATTTATGTAATTAGGTAATATCAGCCTCTCCCACTGGCCTGAAAGTCCTACCAGGTAGGGACTGTTTCTCTTGCTAATCACTGTATTATCAGCGCCCCAGTACCTTGTATATAGCAGATACTTAATGCTCTTACCAGGTATATACTCTCTTACTAGATATTCTCAAAGGAGCAGGTGGAGAGGCACATAAAGTTTGTGAGCTTGGTAGTGGAGACAGTGGCTGAAAAGCCAGACATCAAAGACAGGAGGAAGCAAGAGGGAGTAACGAGGAGACTACAGGGTGCTTTTTTAATGTTTCCCTCCCCTTCCCCAACATCCCACTCTCACCCCAACAAGCCATCCAACAATTCTGTGCATTCATTTCTTTAGGGAATGAGATATACCTCAGATTACAAAACCAAGGCCAAAATAACTTTGCAGAACTAGAATGTGTTCAAGAAACCAGTCACACTTCAGCTGGATCAGACTTCACCATGGAGATGACTGTGTTCCTCCAAATACCCTTCAGCTCAGGATGCCTACACTCATCCAACATGGGGAAAGAATAAATACTCTTGCTTCTGCTCTCAGTCGCTGAGGAGGAGGTCTCTCTCTGGACTGACCAACACTATTTCTTTTTTGCTGCTCTCTTCCCTTCTCCTTTCCTTGGTTTCCCCTTTCCACGAAGCTTCTTCAGACGCATCTGCTCCTCCTTGAAGTCCTGATGCTCATCTCTAAATGGAGAGAGAAAAAACAAGCCAGTATTTTACAGATTGGAAGAGCACACCAGTCTAGCACTGTTGCCTTAGATAGTTCCTGTAATTAATCCCTGACTTCTACAAAGCTTGGTGAAAAGAAAGGACAGGGGTCCCCAACATCCAGGTAACCTGTATTCCAAAAGTTCACTTCTAAGTCACAGTTTCCCTTCATAGAAACAATGTCACAAATCGCAGTTAATTCCTAGGCCAGCCATGTAAACCCATGTAATTGGGATACAACACTATTAATTACCCCGAATTTCCCTATAACACTAACACAAACACTGAGAGGAGCAGAAAGTGGGTAAAAACTTCAATACTTAGAGACTTCGAGAGTCCTGGGAATTAGCACCTACGACAAGGAGGAACGGTGCGGAGGAAGCTGCCTTGATGGCAGTAGATAATTCACACCAAAAGGCTGCAGGGGAAAGGCGCAGGCAGATGGAAGCCAATTAAAAAGACAGGCACTCTAGAGATCAAGGCAGCCAGGACTGTGTGTGCACATGATGGGGTGGTGTAAGATGAAGACTGCCTATGGTGTATAAAAATGTCTGTGTTTTATGATCAAATACCTGAAGAACAAACAGTAAGGTGTTTAAATATGTAAGCTCTGGAACCCATCTGAACCTGGGTTCACATCACAGCTCCATCATTTAGTAGTTGTCTGACCTTGGATAAGTGACCTTCCCTCTCTGAGTCTTAGTCTCTTCATCTGTAAAGTGTGGATAATAATGGCACATGAATTATGTGAGAGAGGGGTTTGTTGGCCAATTTTTAACTCCCTAGGCTGTTTTAAAAAAGTGATTTTATAGGATATGCTGTTTCAGTCCATGAACATGATGGACACAGCAGACCTCTTGGATTTGCTATGATTGCCCCAAATAATCTATTTTCGACAGAGCAGCCAGAGTAATTCTTATAATAAGTCACATCATGTTACTCCTCTTTTCACAACCCTGCATATGGCTCCCCATTTCACCCAGAGCAAAAGCCAGAGTCCTTCCCATGGCCCTCAGAGCCCTTAGTGACCTGCCTGCAGTCCTACTGTTCACCCCTTGGTCTGTGCTGCTCCTGGAACACACCAGGTGCACAGCTGCCTCAGGGCCTTTGCTCTGCTCTTGCTTCTGCTTTGAAAGCTCTTCCCCAGGTTCCACTAGGATCACTCATCACTTTCAAGTCTCAGCTTAAACCACATCTCAATGAGGCAAACCCTGACTGTCCTATTTAATACTGTGACCTGTCTGCTCCCTGCTCACCGAGTGTCCTGCCAGCACCCTGATCCTGCCCAGCTGGCTCTACTACTTTTTTCCCCTCCATAGACCTCCAACTTTGTAACATACCACATAATTTACTTATTTACTATGTTTCCCCCCTCTTCTACACTCCCTCCCTCATTCCCATCCACCTCCAGCCAGAAGGAAAGCTCCAAAGGCAGGGGTCTTTGTCTCTGTGGGTGAAAAGCCCCAAGCGCCTCCTAGACCGAATGGGTCGCTGTTTGGAGAACCTGTGCTTCCCTCCCCGTGCAGGCCTTGGAGTAATGTTTTCTTTATTGGAGGCTATCTAGTCTCATCCTGCCCTATGCCATAGTCAGCCTTATGTTCGAGGCACCATTTACCATAGCCAAATATGTGAAAATAATTGTGCTTTTCCGTGGAGAACAAAATGCTAAGTGTTTCTTCCCTGTCCTCAAAGGCAGTCAAGGCTTTACTTTCCAAACAAATGGAGAGTGGCAGCAAACAGGTACATTCAAGTAGCCGAATGTGATTTTGTTATGGGTTATAATTTTCTACTCAGGAGATCTGCCTTCCAAGCGGATGTTTTCTTTTGGGTCATAATAAAATTAATTTTTATTTTCTGAGCCCACACTAATGGCAAGGGAAACTGCCCCCAAAGCCATTCCAGAAGTTCAAATATGCATGGATTATAATCTGTAATAATATATTAACTAAGAAAACCTATCCTATTTTGTTCACTGCTGCTCCCTTGTGCCCATCTGAAGTGCCCACACGTGGAAGGTACTTAAAAAAATATATCTGTTGGATAAATGAATGCAGCTATCTGGAATGAACTAGTAATTTTATTACATTAGAGTGAACAGTTCCAAATTAATTTTTGTCTTGTTGCCCTAAGAGAAGCCCAATTAAAACAAGTTAAATGAAAAATAAGTAGGCATTTTAACTTTATACAATTATTCACTGTTAGAATTCTTTTATGAGCACATATTAGTTTGGTAATTAAGCCTTTTTTTAAAGAAAACGATCACATAAGTATTTGATGTGTTTTCTCTCTAGAGTCATGTACAGCCCTAAGCTCCCACTTCCTATACATCCTTAAACATACAACTGCATGGTGGAAAGAACCTACCGCTCTACCATCAGACACCGTTACTCTGCTAGAATACCGGCTACATGCTACGCTTAAAGGTAAACTCCAGCTCACTCAGGCCACGTCAGTATATCAAATGGGTACCAACTAAAAATGCCAGGAGAGGGTGGAAGGCAAAAGGAACTCCAGCAAAACTGCCCCAAGGAAAGAATGGAGGCTCCCCCACACCAGCTAGGAAGCAGATGGGCCATGGGCAGGGACTCCCTTCATCTGACTGACCTGCTCAGCGTTTGGACTAGTCTTCTGCATCCGCCAAGAGTGTTCTTAATGACTAATTAAACATCTCTCTGTAGCTCAATATCCAGTCAATGTTAAGTCACGGTATAAGTGCATGCTTCCTGTTATTTTTGGTATGTCCATCATGGATATTTTGAAAGCCTCCTGTCCCTGCCTCTGCCCCAAACTGTACTTTTTGAACTACCTGGGCACTATTATAAGAACCACAAAACTATAAAGACAGAAAGGCTGTTTTTTTCCCCTTTTCTGATCTACTACAAAAATCTCTTACAGGTTGCTCTTTGTTTTTTTGTCATTACCTGTAGAGGCCATAAAAACGCAGTATCCCCATGAGCGCAAAATAAGTGTTGTGATTTGGATACCAGTCATAAGTCTCCTTCCTCTTGGCCAAAGGCTGCTCACTGAAGAGTTTCACCACTTTCATGGATTTGGAATCAGTGGGCCTGGCAACTTCACCAAACAGCCGGGCACTCAGACGAGACATGCGCAAGGCATATTCTGAAAGTGAAGACATTTTGGGGGCAGCAAGGAGGAAGAGTCCCTACAGAAGATAAGACGACAAACAGGTTAGTGTGAGAAATTCCCAGGTTACCGAATGAACACTTTAGAAAATGAAAACACAGCAAGTCACATGTAAATCTGTCCATGCTGTTGGCAGGACATGCCTGGGAGTTGAGATATATCCACAGTCCAAGTGGCTGTTTCCTTTTCATGTTTTACATTTGCAATTTTTACATTTGGTGTTCACTTACTATTGCTCCCTTGCTCTACTGACCTTTTTACAGTGAACTATTTTGTGATTCAATAGGTTATTTACTGATGGTTAGTTTACCTATTTGTAGGCTAGATGAGGGCAGAGAAACAAGTTTTCCTACCACAGCATTATTATACCTGCAGAAAACACCCACCTAAGCACTCTGCAGAATAAATATGCTGACTGCTTGCCATCTAAAGGTTTAATCATGGCAGAGAAATAATTACGCTGTTGTCTTTATTATCAGCCCTTTGAACACTGATCTCCTCAAGGGCTCCAGATGGCTGAGAACTGCTAATGAGTTATGAGGTCATTTAGCCTCTAGGTTGCTGGATTGAATTCTGCCTAGAGACTGAGAGCCGTTTGGGAAAAACAAACAGAAACAGTAAGGAGTCTTATAGAAACAAAATGAGCTCAAAAGATTCATTTTATTCCTGAACAGAGGGCACTTGGGAATTGTGATATTACCCGTCTTATCTTCCATCTTACATATTCTGTTTTACTGCAAGCTAGTTAAGTTCTTACTAGCTGAAAACAGTAACTTTTTCTTCAGAGGCAGAGAATGTTGAAAAAGGTATATAAATGATATCTGTAATACGCAGAAATTATATAGGTGACATATAACAATCAAGAATGTTGCTGGTGGAATAACTATCTTATTCCATTCCGGTTAAGATGTAGGGGTAACTACTGGTGGAATATGCTAATTTATGCGACATTTTTGTACATAGTGAGATGAGAATCTTTGCTAAGAGGCCTATCCTGGGGGATAGTTCAGCTGGGATGAAAAGGAGTTGATCTCCAAACAGAAAAAAGTCATCAACCTATTTTGAAAGACCAGTGGGAGAAATAGACAAAAAACTCTCCTAAACAGGAACGGTGCCAAGTAAATTTCAAAAAAGCTCATGCAAGAAAAACAAACAAACAATAGAACCAGTGTTTAAATTAAGGGCTATTTCATGTCTACATCAAGATCCACTGAAAGAGCAGAGGCTGGCCTCAAACCAACTTCAGATTGGTCCATCTCAAACCATTTACCATTCTCAAACCAACCATGCAATCTTGGGCCAATAGTGCCACCTGAAGGCCAGCAACGAGAGAACTGTCAGATCCAAGGTCTCTCTGCCTTTCCTCCATCCCCAAAACCTGGGATCTGTGCAAATCTTGCTCTTTCTTTTTCCTTTTGCTTTCAGCGTGCCCAGTTTCCAGGTGCACTTCTCTCCCAACTCTTACTCCACTGCCCAGTTTCCAGGTTCACTTCTCTCCCAACTCTTACTCCATTATATGGATGGGATGGCTTGGGGTTATATTTTCATCAATGAGGAAAAAAGTCATTAATTGTTTAATGCAGTGATTTTCAACTGGTGTTGCCACAAGAATGTAAAACATGCAAAACCTGACTATTTAGTCAGGGGCACTAATCTCTTTTCCCTTGGATTGTCAAATAAAAAAATGACAACTGCCAACACAATAGCCATCCAGTGTGAATGAATCAAAATTATACCTATTTTTTGTCAGATGGGCAAAAATATATTTTTTTGGTGTGCCATGAGATGAAAAATGTTGTAAATGGCTGGTTTAATGTATAAATAGAAAGTAGTTAGCAAATCAGTGCTTTAAACCTCTAAAGGCCTTGCATATGTCCAGAAGTTGCCTTCAGGAGCTATGTTTTATCGTAGTTTAAGCATGCTTTATCTTTTCTCTGCTTCCCACCTCTACAGTTATGTTTTTCCAAACATCAGATAAAAAAACCAAACTATTTCTTAATCATCTTTAATTACTTTGCTTAATTACTATTATGGTATTAGAATAGACTTTTGTTGCAATTGCATGATACTTCCACAATCAATTATTTGTAAGGTGGCCCAGGAACTATTAGCTAGGTTGTTATCCCCAACCTATTTCCTCTAAATCTGAGTTTCCTTTTAGGAAAACAAAGCTTGCAGGACTATTGTGAGAAATAATTAAGACAGTAGCACTCAGTAAATGGCATTCACTTAAAAAAAAAAAATCTAAACCTGTTGGTAAGTTGGTGCTCATATGTTCTCATTTGTTCCATACAGACACATTTGTTTATTCCTGTCCTCATTTAATTATGCAAAACAAAAGAGATACATACTCCATGCAATTAGACTTGTACCTCTCTGGGATAATATCCTCACTTACAAAGACTGACAGCCAGAGAGACATAGGGGAGGGGACCAGTACCTTGGTAACTTGACAGATAGCCAGAAGGACATTAAGACATTGGTCATTGAAGCTACCACAGGATGCTAAATTACTTCCATGCCCACTTTAGAATGTAGCAAGTTACTGGGACACATAGCTTATAATCATAAGGTCTCATTAGAATCTATTGGAACAGGGCTGTATCACAAAATCCAAGTCCTAAAACTTTAATGATGGAGAAAGGGAGTAAGTCTTTTCAAACCTGAATCCCTAACTAGAAACAGAACCATTTGCTAAATAGAAGGACACTGAAATGGTTATAATAATTACTGCTTTGTAGTCTCCTTTCACATAGCACATATGTGTCTGGTTAAGAATGGCAGAGGAGCTTGGTGTTCTTTTTTTCCCCATAGGCTAAAACAGCGAAAAAGTTCTGCTGTCCATAAATACTGGTTCTAAGACTGGCAAACTGCCACTTTTTACTAGCTTTAAATGAAAAAAAAAAAAAAAATTGAAAGCCTTATTTAGGACTTTTCAGGACCCTGGTATGCCTATTTATGGATTCTTTCAATTTTATCTTTAAAAAAATACGATGAACCCTAGTCAGCTTGGCTCAGTAGTTAGAGCCTCAGTCCGAGGACTGAAGGGTTCTGGTTTGATTCCGGCCAAGGGCTCCATCCCCTGCCCTGGTTGGGGCGAGTTTGGGAGGCAACCAATGGATGTTTCTCTCTCTCTCTCCCCCTTCTACTCTCTCTGAAAAGCAACCGAAAAAATATCCCCAGGCAAGGATTAAAAAAACAAACAGAAAAACTGGACCCTGTTAAAGGCATTAAAGTAAAAGGCAAATAATTTACATGTCAATTAGACTTTTATTTTCATGAAGCCATTCTGAGGGGGTAAAATTAAATCACTTTTCTTTAAACGTGAACTAAAGAAAACAGTACAACGAAGAAACACTAACTGGAGTTGAAAATGCTAAGCAAAACCAAATTACTCAAACACGTTACGCCCACACAAGAAAATCCCCCTATTTCTACTTTGGCATAAAAGGGCAAGTTTCTTTGCTCTTTCTGACAGGCCTCAGGCACTTAGAAGGTCAGGTTCGTTGTTTAACACTGGCTCTGGATTAGGTTGGCCTTTTTTCCTTTGAAAAGCGGAGGAGCTCTTAGCCTGGATATCCCTCAGCGTGGCGAATCCCGTGGAACTTTAAAATATGCTGACACGTGAGTGCACATGTGTGTAAAACCTGCTGGGGACAGAGCTTTCTCCAGTTTCTCAAAAACCAGCGGCTGGAGTTGAGCACCTGCTTTGGAGCAGACAATCCGGTCGGAATTTGGCCTCTGCGCTCTAATGGCCAGGCGGTGTTTGTAGCAGCACCTACCGCATTCTCGGCCTCCGTTTTCTCACCTGCCACCCGAGGACAGTTGTACCACCCGAGGACAGTTGTACCACCCGAGGACAGTTGCACTACCTCCCGCGTCGGGAGGCTGCCCCGCAAAACTCAGGGCGCAGCGCCTGCCCTAAGAGGCACCAGCCTCAGGGAACGCGCACACTGCGCGCACGTGCCCACAGGAAAACCACCGAAACCCGGTGCCTTAACTGTTTTTAAAGCCCGGCGCCGATTATTTTACTGGGTCGCAGAGACACGAATGCCTCTGAACAGGCATCAGCTTTATTCGGTTCAACAAGAACAGATCACGCCTGCCTGTGATGGAAGGAACGGTGTCGAAGTCCACTGACGCTGAATTGGCCGAGATTTTTCTTAAATATCGCTTTATTCTATTTTTCTTAAACTGGTAACAAAATTAACCCGCACGCCCCACGCGGTGCAAAAAGCCACGTGCCGAGCAGAGAAACTGAGCCTTGAAAGCTACCGAATCGGGAGACAGTAACTGCGCCGGGCAGGAAAGGACGCCGGGGCCCTTGGTGTGGAAAACGCCCCAATTTACGCAGCAACAGGCCAAGCTGTTGGCGTGATACCGGAGAAACCTCCAAGCCGCTTAAAAACGAACGGACTCCTCCTGTTCTGGGAGACCCTAAAAGGTTGTGCACGCCGCGCCCCGCCCCCCCGCACCGCGGACCCCCGCGGACGCCGCGGCAGCCTTACCTAGCGGTCACCTTCCTCTCCCGCGCGCCCGCGGCCGGAAGGCCCGCCCCC